CCATAACGATCTTAAAAGTGGTCTCCTGCTTCCAAGTCTGATCTGCCCCCACTGATCCCTTGATCAATGGGAAACTGTTGCTCCCCAAGAGCAACTTCTGCTCCCCAAGACTTCTGGATGAAGCCTAAGTCCCTCAGCCAGGAATATATGTTCAGCCTCATCACACTCTACTCCCTCCCACAACGCAACTACCAACTTGCTTGTGTCCATTTCTTTGTGTTGTATTTTTTTCCTTCTGTAGTTTACACTCTCTCACCCTCCAATCATTCCTCTAATAATCAAGTATTACAGTCACTAAAAAGACTTGTCCTCTCCACAGGTGTATATTTAGCACCCCTCTTATAGTTTCACGCTCTTTAAGATAGAGTACATCTGAGTGCTGTTGAAGGAATCAAGCCCAGAAGGAAAACATACAACTGCAGTTGAGAGAGAAAGGGGAGGTAACTCTAGAAGTGGATTCCTGGATAAAAATAGGAGTATCAGGTCCAGAGCATGTGGGTAAGGATCTGCCTTTAATGAGAGCAGGACTTTCCTTCTCTTTTAGTGAAAGATGCACAGAAAGTACAGATTCAGATGCTGTTGGTTTGCAGAATGTGATGGTGGGTAGGTGTGGGAGCTTCTGTATAATCACGTAACTGTTTCTCATTGAGGTTTAAGGTGAGGTTATCATTACAGACATAGGTAAATGGAACAGGAAGATTGTGAAGATTTGGGAAGGGATGATATAAACGAATCTCAGAAATAGAGAAAGCTCAATTTGCAAGGGAAATCTAGTAACATTGTCGAGAAAAATATGAGTTCTGTCAGTGGGTTCATGAATTTAAAGTGACAACTAGTCAGTGTCCTTGTAAGGACCTTCCTACAAACAAAAATGATCAGCTGCTCAATACTGTGGTGCAAATATGGAGAAGGCAAAGAGATGAGCTTAATGAGGGTTGCTGGACCTATGCCCGTGAGCAAGACAGCGTACACTGCACTGCGCATTGTTCTGGGTATGGGGTTACAGCAAGAAGCAAAGCAAAATTGCCTTCTTAATGAAGCTTATACTATCGAGGGACAACTAAATGATGCAGTTGCAGACAGTGATAAGTGTTATGAAGAACATAAAGCTGGGTGGTGGTCAGAACAATTTTTGAGTGAGTATATTCTCAATTCTCCTAAGGAGAGTACAAATCTAGCACCTTTACAAACAATGAATGCCTTACAACAGTAGGGCTACATTCTCTAAATCTACCTCTTTTAGGGCAGAGGTGAGAGATGTTCCCAGTGAGGAGGTGTTTAAACATAGACCATGAAATCTTGGCTTCAGTAGAACTAGGAAGATAGAGAGGGAAAACTGAATGGGTTGCAGGGCTAGATGAATTCCGTAAGACTCTTAGAGTGTGGGATCACTGACCACACAATAGCTGAATTACAGGGATAAGAGATGTTTCTGTTATACAGAGGCAGCTAATGCAATACAGACATTTGGGCAGTATCGGGCATAGTTTCTTGAATTGCTCAAGAGATTTTAGATTTTGAGGATGAGGCACATTAAAAAACACTTTGCTTGTATATACAAAAATATAATCATACCCATATAAATGAATCTAAGCACAGAGGCTGATGTAAGAATACTATTATTGATGGAAGCCTAGTTATAAGCAAAGATTTGGCATTTGTTTGTGCTAAGATGGTATTTTCTTTAGTTTATAATTTTAATTTTAGAATCATGTCCTGATAAACTAGAAGAAACATGAGGGCAAAGGAATTGGCTACATCCTTAAAAATTTACCTTTATTTTAAATTTTTGAGACAGAGTCTTGCTCTGTCTCCCAGGTTGGAGTGCAGTGGCACAATCTCAGCTCACTGCAATCTCTGCCTCCCAGGTTCAAGTGATTCTCATGCCTTCGCCTCCTGAGTAGCTGGGAATACAGGTGTGCACCACCATACTCAGCTAACTTTTGTATTTTTAGTAGAGATGGGGTTTCAGGCTGGTCTCAAACTCCTGGCCTCATGTGATCCATGCACCTCAGCCTCCCAACGTGCTGGGATTATGGGAGTGAGTCACTGGGCCTGGCCTTAAAAATTTATTTGAAGGGAAATAATATGGTTAGGCTTTGTGTCCCCACTCAAATCTCATCTTGAACTGTAATGCCTATAATCCATATGTCATGGGAGAGATGAGGTGGAGGTAATTGAATCATGGGGGCAGTTTCCCCATGCCGTTCTTATGATACGGAGCGAGTTCTCACGAGATCTAATGGTTTTTTCATAAGGGGCTCTTCCCTCTTCGCTCAGCACTTCTCCTGCCTGCCGCCTTGTAAAGAAGATGCCTTGCTTCCCCTTTGTCTTCTGCCATGATTGTAAGTTTCCTGAGGCCTCCCCAGACTTGCTGAACCGTGAGTCAATTAAACATCTTTTCTTTATAAATTACCCAGTCTCGGGCAGTTCTTTATAGCAGTATGAAAATGGACTAGAACAGGAAACATATTTGGAACTCCATTGTTTCCCTACATGTTATTGAAAACAGCTTTGAGAGTGACTATGCTTAAAGTGAGACTTTTATTCTTTCATATTGTTAACACACTTATCTACACACATTTGATGTACACAGGTTTTTTTTCAAAAAATTTTCTGTTGTTGTTTATGTTGTTGTTATCACCTGTCTTCCAGGTAATGCAGAATGTAAGGTCCATTAAGACACATACATTTTCTCATTCACTGCTGTAAATCATACCCAACAGAATAGCTGGGCATATTGAAAGCGTTAAAATAATTTTTAAATGAACACAGAAGAGCAGATGCAGAGAAGAAACAAAAAGGCAACTGAAAGTGGTGGAAGGGGTGCCATGAAGACTCATCTTGTTTAACTTAACAGCAAAAAGGTGAAGCATTTCCTACTTCTAAGAATACAGTATATAGGTTAGTATCCTTACAACATTGTTTTCATTTAACATGGAGAAATATAAAAAAGAGTTAATATCTGAGTTTCGTAATAAGGAGGTTAAAAGATCTTCCTGGCTGGGCACGGTGGCCCATGCCTGTAATCCTAGCACTCTGGGAGGCCAAGGTGGGTGGATCACAAGGTCAGGAGTTCAAGAACAGCCTGGCCAACATAGTGAAATCCCGTCTCTACTAAAAATACAAAAAATTAGCCGAGCATGGTGGCAGGTGCCTGTAATTGCACCTACTTGGGAGACTGAGGCAGGAGAATCACTTGAACCTGGGAGGTGGAGGTTGCAGTGAGCTGAGATTGCACCACTACATACCAGTCCAGTGACAGTACAAGGCTCCGTCTCAGGAAAAAAAAAGAAAAAAAAATCTGAAAGGTTGTTAAAATCCAAAGAAAGATGGGATTGCCTAGTCATACTAAATGTGTAAGTAAGTATGACTGGGCAATCCCATCTTTCCTACCAGGGAACCACTAGACAAATCCTAAACACCTCTAACTGCCTTTCAAATCATTATAAATGACTACCAGAGACATGATATTTGGCTGACAGTTTGTATTTTGAAAGCACATGTGTTACAAAATATAATTTCACTATTCCGTATGGAAAACACCAGTCTCAACGCCTGGTCTATAAATTGTGGATTCAAAAGATTATATAATAAATCACATATAATGTGACCAAGAATATGAGTGACACTTGTTTACATTTTGGATGTGAAATCCAGTGAATAGATTGATTGTTTTTTTGAATAAATCCTAGGATTAAGGATTTCTTTCTTCTTATACGACAAAAATGAATATTCTATGCTTTTACCTATATTATTTCCTGTTACATTTTTTAAAAATGTGCTACAAATTCTTGACTCCACAAACCCACTAGATGGAAAAAGCACGATTCACTTTTATTCACTACTAAAAGTGGAATGAGTTTACAAAATGCTCCCTAATATTTACTACAGGACTAACGATTTCAGTCAAAGGATCCTTTAAGAATCAATGAATAGATTTTCCACTCTAAGTTATGAAGACCACGGAATTGGAAAATGACATTCACCTTGATTTATGAGTTTCACCAGAGTTCTGTTTCAATCTTCACAATTATCTTAAATGATTAAATAGTATTTTCCCATCTTAAAAAAAGCTGTGCCTAACATTTAATCAAATTGTAGTATGACTAATTCATTGTAAGTCATCATTAATGACACTTGAACAACCTATAACAAAATAAAGGATGGAGCCAATCTTCAGAGTTTTCTTGGCCTCAGTCTCAAGCCATGTCAGCCTCTAGGAGAATTCCGGAAACAGAAAGAACTTTCCCAGAGCGTGGCATGATACAAATCTGATCTTCAGAGGAGATGGAACATTCCAAAGTTGAAATATTTTGAGTAGTAAATGCTTTGATATAATTATAAGTTTCAGTGATTTCAAACATCAAGACGTTTAATAGATGTTTTCCTCTTAAATTTTTTTTGTTTCTTTATTGTCTTCTAAAATTTTCCATCCCTGCCTCTCTCCTAGAAATGCAGGAAGAGTCCATGAGATAATATTTATAATGTTTTTAAGCTCCCTGGAAGAAAGGCGTTGAATATCCAGAGGTATTGGTGTATCCCATTAAAAAACTGCAAATAATGCTCTGAAGATCTGAACAACATCAATATAGTCTGTTCTCTGGATACAATGTTTTGACAAGTCAAATAAATACCAGGTTGAAATGAGGTCATCAGCACAATTAAAATGTAAAATAATACCATCTAATTTTCTATCACAAAAAGCATAGAATTGTTAATGTCTTACAAAGATGAGTTATTTTAACTAATATCTAGTGTATTTACTGTCATGCAAGCAAACATTAATAATGAACATTATCCGCAAAATAGCATGTTTATCAAATTGCTAGCCTCTTACAACTCTGTGACTCATAATTCAACTTAATCTGTTTTTCTGTAATGTCAAAATAAGCCCTTTAAAGCAATATGTATTTTTCAAACAATGCCTTTTACCTTTTTTTTTTTTTTTTTTTTCGCTGAAAGGGAAGAAAAACATAACACATCTCTTTGGAATTTACCTTGAATAATAAATTGTTCCATGTTTTCTTTAAAAGGCTGCATGTGCTCTTTTGAGGAGACCTGGTATACTTTCCCCGCTTCAACTTCACAGGCTGAAATTAGACAGAACATTATTTAGAGTGTCACACTGTTAGTGGAGCATTAAGGCAATTTTGAAAACATCTTAGCTAATGTTAGAAAATTCTGTTAACTCCCCTAATCAGCATATGTTCTGCACACATTTTGGAAACATCCAAATACGGACATGAGAAGCCGATGATCAAGGCTTCCTTTTAGAGGGCTGTAAAAAGAACTTGTGCAGAATTTATCCTCTCAGTTTGATTATTCCCAAACCAATCAGTTGGGCATGTTATATAACCTCTAAATCTCAGTCTCTTCATCTGTAAAATGGGCATGATAGCAGAGCCTGCCTCACAGTGCAGTTATAAGGATCATATCTGTTAAGAGATGTAAAGTGTTAGAATAATGCCTGGCACAGAGTAAAGCAACATGTAACTATTTTCTATCATCATCATCATCATTATCAACTGACTGAAAATACAAGTTTATTCCTCAAGACCAAATTTCTGAAAAATAAAAAATAATAACATGGGTGGTAATGTTAGTACAGCATCTATTACATGTCAGATGCATTTTATCCATTACTTAACATAATCCTTAGAATTAGGCCCATAAAGCAGACATTATTACTTCCTTTTACAACTGAGAAAGTTAAGGCTCAAATAAGGCGCTAATTTGCTCAAGGGTCCACAGGTAATAAGCAGCACATTCATAACTGACAGCCTGATCTAACACCAGAGTTTACCCTCTTTTCATGCCTGTGGAATTATGAATATCTTAGGTAGCCTACAGATTCCACTTGGATTAATATCAAGAAGTACGTCTAAGAAGATTTCTGAAGAAATGTCTGCCATTACGGTGAGAGCAAGAAACCAGAGCCAGTTAGGAAGTAATTCAACAATGAAAAGTACATATTTAAACACAAAACTTTGGATAGAACACATCTGATGAAAAAAAAACACAAACAAATGCAAAACCTCTCACTACAGTTCTTAAGGTAAGGTTGCCGTTTCTCCCAGGAGACTCTGTCTGCATTTCTAATATATTTTCTTTCTTTTATAAAGCTAAAGTTTTCTCTTTTTTCCCTCTAGGTCATTAGTTTAAGCATGGGAATCTAGGAAGGCTGTATTATTAGTGCACATTCTTCCCAGCAAATGTGGATGACTTTGGGCTTAGTAAAATCTAAGACCAGTGTAGGCAGATCCAGGGTTCTCCCTGCCTGTCTGCTTCTTATCCCTCACCTGTGCCCAGGTAACCTCTTGCAAGTTGGATGCTGGAGAATTTCTAACCCATATCCATAGCCCATGTATTCCATAGCTCCAGACTCAACACATGAAACTTTCACCCGAACAGAATTCCTCATGGACTTCTCTAAACCTTCCACCTCCCTTATTCTCCTTTCACTGGTAGCGCCACCACCTGACCTAAGTAACTTAAGCCAAAACAGGAAACTCATTCTCAACTCCCTCTCTTTATTCCAACATCCTGTTGTTTTTACCTCCATTCTTCAGTTGATCCCATCGTCTCCATTCCTGTTCTATTCTGGTACAAATGCCCTCATTGTTCCTACTAAGGCTACTGTGAAAACCTCTTGCCCTTGGCTTCCCATCTCCCGTCTTCCACAGATCCATGCTCCTCCTCATAGCCTTAAAAGCCATCCAGAAGAGACCCAATCTAAAACTGTTCAGTGACCTCCGCCCTCTCAGCTACACTCTGAATACAGGAAGAATTGCAAAGCCTACACCATGACTTGTAGCACCCACTACAATGTCAACTTTCCAACCATCTTTCAAACCATCCATCTCCCTCTAGTCCTGGTACCTTCCGCAGACTCAATGCAAATGTTAATCTCCAGACGTAACTGCCCCTGAAAAGCATTCCCTGAACTCCCTACAGGGCCTGCATTTCTCCATTCCCTGCCACTTGTCTCCAAGCAGGATGAGGTGTCCCTCTTTGGTGATTCCGGGGCATCTTGTACATACAGAGTTAAGGCTGTCGTTTACTGAGTACTTGTTATGTGCCAGGGATAGTATTAAGCATGTTACCCATACTGTTCCATTCAATCCTCATAAAACCCTTTGAAGTAGATGATTAACATGCTTACTTTACATCAGAGAAAAATGAACTACAAAGAGATTGCCCACATTTCTATAGTTCGCAAGCTGAGGAGGTGGGATTCAATATCAACTACCACACTATATTAAAGTTATTTGTAACTGTGTGTCTTCTGCCCCACTAGACTGAGCTACTTGAAAGAAAATCCATCTTATTTCCATTTGTGCCTGACTTAGGCAATAAATTGCTGTTGGATGGGTTAGTTGCTGTATAAATAGTTACTTAAGTGGAAATAACATTCTAGATGTTGAAATCTAGCAGACAGGGTTTAAAATTCCAGGTCACCCATCTACTGAATGTGCCTTATGATTTGGGGCTAATTACCTAACCTTTTTAGATCTCAGTTGCATTATATGGTAGTGAGTTTAATAAAATCTCTAACATTAGTGTGATGATTAGCCACAAGGGTGTAAAATGTCTGAAACTGACTTTGTGCTAGCTAAGTACATGCACAAAAAACAGGAGCTATTGCTGCTATTGTTTTTCTAAGGACCAAGTGGAGTTCAGCCTAAGGAAGTGTAAGATCAAATACAGGAGCTGTTTTCAAAGAGCTGAAGTATGGTCTCATGGATGACTAGGTGTTGACATTCTCTGTGTTGATCTCAAGGAAGGAGGAAGTTGAATGAGCAGAAGTTAGAGATGTAGTTCTATGTAACAGGGATGGCTAGTGTTTACGGAACTCCTATAGTGACGTAACGTGCCTTCTGAGGCGGTGAGCACTTTGTCACTGGGATTATTCAGAAAGTAGCTGACTGCTTGTCAGAAATGTAGAAAGGGATGGGTCAGATGACAAGACATCCGTAGTCAACTTCCTGTGGGCTGTATCACTTATGACAGTCTCATGTAGCTGGAAATTCTGCTCTTTAACGATGTTTCTAGATGCATATTAAGGATATATTTAAATCATGTCATAAATTTGAGAGTTTCCTAAAACTGTGTAAGGATTCTGAATATATGGAAGACAAGTTATATCACTTAAAGGAAATAAGGCCGAGATTTAACAGCCCTTATCATTTCAGTGAATTATTTCTAGCAACGTCAGGTGACACAGTGTTCCCAAAAGTCTCTGAGCAGTTTTATTTTTAAATTTTTATTTTTTTTGAGACAAAGTCTTGCTCTGTTGCCCAGGCTGGAGTGTAGTGGCGCGATCTCAGCTTACTGCAACCTCCATCTCAAGCGGTTCTTGTGCCTCGGCCTCCCAAGTAGCTGGGATTACAGGCGCCTACCACCACGCCCTGTTAATTTTTGTATTTTTAGTAGAGACAGGGGTTCATCATGTTGGCCAGGCTGTTGTTGAACTCCTGACCTCAGGTGATCCACCTGCTTTGGCCTCCCAAAGTGCTGAGATTACTACTGGCCTCTGAGCAGTTTTTAATGTATACATGGCACAGACATCGATCAACTATCTACTGATTCAAGGGACTGCTCTAGGCACTGATTACTGCCACAAACAGAACTGACAAAACCCCTGTCCTCAGGGAGCTTGTCTTCTACTACATTACAATCTTCAAGTAATGACTTTTCAATCCCAACGAGGAAAGTAAATAATAACTTTTCAATCCCAATGAAGAAAGTAAAATCCTATTAGTCTCATGTTTAATAACATACACTAGCATAGAAAAAAAAAATCTAATCTCTCACCTTGACTGATTTGCAAAACCTAAAAACCAGAGGCAAGGAAGGCTAATGTTTTCATTACTGGTCACAATTATTTCATTTTCCATTTTTAAGTTAAAAAGTAGAAGTAATAACTGTCCTTTCCTTCATGACATCATATACGTCCATGACCTCATACACACCCATGACCTCATACACACCCATGACCTCATACCATCCATGACATCATACAGTATCTTGGGGTCTAGGATCCTGTATGGGTATGCTACCACTAGAAACCTGCAGAATCATCTACCGGGTCTGGTGACCTAAAGAAGGATTTCATTAGCTGGGGAAGTAGAGAAAGATCACAGACTGCCTGTGACAAAGTCTTCTACATGGTGACAACCATCCTCTGGGCCTTCATTTTTACTCTAATATTGAAACAATAGAATATTCAACAGATAATAAAATGCATGCTATCATAATTTTCCTTCTTATTTTAAATTAATTTTCACTTAATTTTATCGATGTCCTTGGCCCATTCATATGAACTGTATTTGTACATCAATGCATGCAAAAACTATTTTTTCTATCTTTCCCCCTAACTTATAGAATTTTCTGTGCACAGTGGGAAACATGTAGAATTTCAGCTCTAGAAACACTGTAACGTCATTTGCTGGCAGCCTCATCTCATCTACAGTCCTCCTTCTAGAAGGTCATGAAACATACCTGTCCAATGTCTGGGTGTTTTCAGTGATGTGCATTCTTATTGCTTCCAGGCAGCTTTTTCCTTACTAAGCAGCTCAAATTATTAGAATTCCCAACTGTATACTGAGTAAATCTCTCTCTACAGTGTACCCCCTGTGGAATGATATGTCTGGAGGTTGCTTTAAAATATTCTGGATATAGTCACACCAATACTTGTGCCATTACAAAGTAAAAAGATGTTTTTAAAAGTCCAGCATTGGTAGTTCGGGTCTTTAATGAGTCACAGAACAAGTCTGCTTGTTTTGAGGACAGATTTCTTCTCTACTCTCATCTCCTACGAGTCAGTCTCCATTTACTTTGCTATATTACCAGTACCTGGAATAATCTCCCACAGGCAATATGCATTCAACAATTCTTTGTGGAATGAATAAATAAATTCATTGTATCTTCCTGTCATAGTGAGCTTCTTGTTTATCTGCAAAATGTCTCGCTTATTCACATTTCTCCAACCCTTCCCCATGCTCTTCACCCACCAAACACACTCTCACCACTTAATGACCAGTTTTGAACTTCCACTTATCCTTTCCCAGAGTCTGGTTCAACTGTCACC